GCCTTCTCTTGATTAGGAGAGCTCTTCCTGTTTGTACCTCCAAGGTACCCAGCCCAGTGCATTGGAGATGGCAACTGGAGCAGGTGTAAACTCCTTCTCAGGAGAGGAGCTGAAGTCCTCTTGTTAATTCTCATTCAATAGGGGTTTTGATGAATGTGATCATTCAAGTGGTCTCGTGAGCTGCCATCCCTTAAAGGACCCCAGTGTACAAAGCCTCATTGTAAAGTGTATGGACATCTTTACTTTCTAGTTTTTGAACTTTCTGATTTTTATCCCCAAGTCACATCTTTCTCTTCCTATAAGGAGCAATGACTTCCACTATTCCATCCTCAAGCCAACGAAGATAGAAATCTTTTAAATGGAATTTAAGCCCTAGAGGGAAGCAAAAGTATTAAAAGCAAATCAAAGGAAAGCTTTTTCCTTTTCTTTTATTTTTTTAACCCACACATTGAACACATCCCCTCACCTATGTGATTTTCTTCCTAAGCAGACATTTCTTGCAGGGGCCAGCGTGTCTGTCCCTCCGTGCCTGCCTGGGACGATATCAGAAAGCACCGCATCCAAATTTCAGCAGGCCCTTGGCTTCTAAACTGGGAGCGTGTTATTCTCTTCTTTTCTAATAAGGTTTGAGCATTACCTTCTTGGAGAGATCATATATATTCACAATTTTATACAAGTTTAGAAAGTGAGTGACATACACTGTTCACTGATTTGATTATTGACACTTGTTATACAGTCATGCATTTAAAGCCAGTGAAAAAAGTACTGAGAACATGTTCTTGAGGGTGGCACTATTTGGGAAGACAAATCAATCTGTTGGTTTGCTCTGTGCTCTACTGGCAACACAATCCTGCCACCCACTTTCCTTGTTTTGCTTCCATCCTGTGTCTAAGAGAGCACCCTGACAGAAGTCATGGTGTAGCTAGAGGACCCTCCTAATACCAAGATTTCTTAGTCCTTTCTGTGGTTACTGTCACAGCCAGCTTGGGCTGCTATAACAAAATACTGTAAACTGGGGGGCTTAAACAATAAGCATTGTCACAGTTCTGGAGGCTGGAAGTCCAAGATCAAGGGACCAGCAAATTTGGTGTCTGTTGAGGGCCTTTTCCTGGTTCACAGGTGGTTTTCTTCTTGCTGTGTTCTCACAAGGCAGAAAGGGAAAACTCTGGTCCCTTCATCTCATAAGAACACTAGTCCCATTGTGGGGGCTTCGCCCTCTTATCCTTATCTGAACCTAATCACCTCCCAAAGCCCCACCTCCAAACACCATCACATTGGAGATTAGGGCCTTGGCATGTGAGTCTTGGGCAGGCACAAGCATTCAGGCCATGGTGTTATGCATAAAACATCTGAATCTTTAGCTTCATGAACTCTAACTGTATGCGCAAAATTTAAAATTCCTATCAACAAGAGAATGAAGAAGGGGAACTTTAAAGCTAAAGTGTGTTCTGTTATATTTTCCTACCTAACAACATAGGAATGACTTACACAAAATATCATTTGAACATTGAAGTAATACCTTTAAGAATCGAGAACAGCTAGAACTTTTGCAAATTTTATCTGTTGGGATATAGCAGATGAAAATGAAAAAATGTGCACAAAATTGAGGAACATTTATTTACCAAGTCTGAAGAGTAAAACTATGAGAAGAAAAGGGAATTTCCACTGAAAAGTTCCCCCACGCTAGAATAAAACTTCTTAAAATCACAAATGCCTTTCTCCTTTTTTGTTTGCTTTTACTTTAATCTCAGCTTGATATCTCAATTTAAACCTGATAAATGAAGATAAACACACAGCCATATGTTTATGTGTAAGGGGGGGGGTGTATGCCACAACCTGGCAATAGTACAGATAATATAATCAAATATTCTCAGCCAGCATTGCCCCTGTTGGTTTTTTGGAAATACTTTGTCCCCTTGGTTGTGCCCTGTCTTCATTACATAGAACATTCTCTCTCCTGACTTGATGACATTTTGCTTCTTTATATGTCACTTTCATATTTCAAGCTCTTAAAGAATTTTTATAATATGCCCTCAAAATATAGTCTAAAATAAGCAGTTTGCATAAGACTCACTGTGTTCTTAGGACCAGTGAGCTGGATGATCAGTTTTGACAGAGTTAAAGGTTTAGCCACTGCTTGCCTTAGTCCATGTGCCCATTCTGTAGAAATTTCAGGGTGGGTACCTCTTCTGTTTAAGTTTATAAATGACATATTTCCTCTCTGGAGAAGAGTTGCATAGCCATGATTTCTCTGGATCCTCACTCTAGAGGAAGGGTACCAGTGGAAGTTTGCATGTGCAGAACTGTTTCACGCCTTCTGTCCAACCCTGTCACCATCGATCTATAGTTCTACTATGTTGATTTTCTAGGCAACATAACATCAAGTATGTTAGCACAATTCTTAAGATTCTGTTCTTTTTATGGGTAGTGAAAAACAGTTTCTTAATGGGTAGTTGATACTTCTTAGCTCAAGAGTCTGAATAAAGTACCCAGATGAAGGCCAGATCCATTGACTGATTTGAAACCGTTCTTTTTCTTCAAAGTTGACAGGGGCCAGAGTGCCATCAACGTTATGAAATAGCAGAGAATCCCCTTTGAATTCCATCTCTAGCTGCCATCAAAGATGATCCCTGTCATATTGGTTTTCCTTTTATTTCCTTCAGGTTCTCTATGTAACCCTTAACAAAGGATTGTAATGGAAGGTGTTTAAGAGCTACATAGATCGCATGTCAGAGCACAAGGAAATTGTGTATGATTTAGCCATTTATCCTAAATGACTAAATAAAACTTCCATTTTATTGCACAGAAGTTAGAAAAGTAGAACAAGATGGAACCCAGCAAACACAACCCAGCTGCCTTTTGCTCTTCGTAGAGTTTGACTGTCACATATTGTAATGAGCATGCAAATACTGTATATCTTTTGCTACTGTTATGTTAGCTCTGACATGAGAGAGAAATTTCATCTATGTTAGGCTCTAAATTCTATAGTCTGATTTTTCTCAATATTATTAAATATTTGTATGAAAAGGATATTTTAAAAGATAGAAGATGATAAAATAAAAACCCAAATGAAATAATTTTCCATTTCCTGTTGCACTAGCAAATAGATTCAGTACCCCAAGCTGGTTTCATTTAAGAAGTCAGTATCACCCCTCTTTCATCATCAATATCAACAAACCTACTTTCCTTGTGCTGTGTTTCTATCCAAAGGAGTGGGCCAGTCTCAAATAGTGAACCACATGCACTGTTACAAGACTGGTTCAGTTTCATTTTTTAAAAAGTGTATTTAAAAGACATGTGCTGGTTTCATTGATAGGCTGTGCACAGATGCAAATTCATCTTTGAATGGTTTAGAAGTGGCTTTGGTTAAAAACAACAACAACACAAGAAGATTCCTACATTGAGTGTTCTTGTTAGAAAGTTGAAATTGAGTGGCATTCTTACTGAAAAAGACCTTTAATGGGATGTCCAACGTCCATCTGTGGGATGTCATTCATCTCTGAGATTTAGCCTTGACTTAAACTAAGCTGTATCATAACTGAGAAATAGAAAGGTTGAGTTTTCAGGGTTGCTTTTTTAAAAATAAATGATGAAATTCTTGAAATTATTTATGACAGCGAAATAACTTTACATTATCTCTATCAACACTTCCTTTTTTATGTTACAAGGATATGAAGTAAGCCTATATTTTCTTCCAGTAAAATTTTCAGACCTTACACAGATTCTGAAATATAGTTGTAATTTTGTATTTATACGTACATGTATATATACACTGCACATACATATGTACAGAACATATCTGTGAGAAAGTGTAGTGTATCACATGTAGACTATATTTATTTTAGGCATCATCAATGAACACAAATAAAGCAGTTAAATAACTTAGTAAGTACTTCACCCTAAAATTAAGGGTTATTTTGTTTTACTGTGATTCTTCTCAAAAGTAAACATGGGAATATTTTTTCTATACATACAGTTTATTTCATGTCTACCCTCATTATACTCATTGCCTTTATTTTTCACAAAAGACAAAGGCTGTGTATAATCAAAGATCAGAATCAATAGTACAGTTTTTTTATATTTTAAATAAAAGTAACACAACAAAAAAATTTTAAATGTAGAAAAAATGAAAAACAGTTTATTAATAAGTTTTTATTTCATTACATGGTTTTTATGGTGAATTTTACATGCTATAAAGCACAAACCCATACCAATTTGTATACTGCTGTGTTCATTTAACTGTTAATGTAATCATTTGCCCAAGTTGCTACAAGTTCTTTAAAATTATTCTTTTTAATGGTCTACTGATATGCCTTTGTGCAATAAGCTATAATTTCTAATTTCTTTGTAATTAATTTTCAACCACAGATTTTTCTGTTATATATTAGATTCAATTCAAAGCAAACTTAACTACCAGAATTGATATAAGATCTAGTGTGCCTATACTATCCTAATGCATCTAATAAACCATAGCAATTTTCTCTTTTGTTTATTCTGTCTTTTGATTGAAGCCTATAGATACAGTGATAGTACTGAAAATCAAACAAGTTATGTAGGAATTTATCAGAGTTCACACTTATCCATAAGAAGTGAAGGCATTTGATTACTACTAACTATAGTATGTCATTGGTATCATAACTATAAAATAAGCCACCTTGATCTGTAGCCTTCTTCTTTGCTGCCCACTCAAAATCAATCCATGTCTTCTTCCTTCCTGTAGCAATGGCCTAGAATTGTTCTCAGGAAGCTTATCCATTCTACTGCCAGTTACGTTCACTTTTGTCCAAGTTCCAACCCCATTCACCCTCCATCATAAGCTCCTGGTGGACAGGAATGGCTCTCCGCTTTTTGGACAGCTGCTGCATTACCCTACATGCCAAACATGTTCACCAAATGTTATGACACCCTGGTTTTGTTATGGTCTGTAATATTTACAGAAGGCAATATTGGGAAGTGTAATGGTGTTAAAGATGTTTACTCTCTTATTTTTCTTCCTCCAGTGGGATGGAGTAGGACCTCTTCCCGACTGTGCAGAACCACCAAAAGGGATCCAGATGCTGTGGCACCCATCCATAGTCAAACCCTACCTCACACTGCTCTCTGAGTGCTCAAATGCAGACACGCTGGAAGGGGCGGCAGGCGCCCTGCAGAACTTGGCTGCAGGGAGCTGGAAGGTATGACTAGTTCGTTACCATAAAAAAGAAATCTGGGATTATGAGCACGACCTTAGAAAAAAGCAGAAGTCCAGTTTTGAGGAATGCAATTCTAATGAAGTTTTTGAGGATGTGAGAGAAAGACCAGTTACACTGAACTGTTGGACTTAGAAAAGGTATTCCTTTGAAAAATTCTCCTTAAGGGCTCAGGGATCCTTGAAGATCAGTACAAAGCACAGGCGGCTAGATGTAAGTGTACTAGTCGTCATTGAAAATGCCGTGATGTGCTCTCCATTCTGCTTGTGCAGCTGAGCTACTCGGTTTTCAGAGGAGACTGGGACATGCTGACACTTTGCAAAGCACTGTTGTTGGCTGTTAAGGGAGCTAATACCCAAACATCTTGTATACAAACTCATGTGATTGCTGTAATGTTATATAGGTGGTCCTGTTCCCAGAGGAAAAGAAGGTCTTGAATTTTTAAATTATTGGCTTTCAGAGGAGAGTAGTATTGCTAGTTATCTTTGGAAAAAATGTTAAAGTAAAACAAATATTTGATTGGGAATATTAGAGTCCTTATAAACACACACTGATTGGTTTTCACAGAAAATGTCCATGACCCTCATTTTGGGTAGGAAGAGATTCACCATAGCAAAGAATTCTTGAGTTTGATCACTAATTATTACATGAGCTAACTCACCTTATTGCATAAAAAAGTGTAACTTCTTAGAGGAATGAATGCATATAGGGAAAAATATCAAAAGAGGACGTTTGGGCGTCTGCCATCCATTTTTCATTCATATACTATTAAAGCCTCAGTTTGAAATATGCATAATCACTCTTTTAACATTTTATTGAAAACAATGTTAATATAGACACATAACTACAGATATTTCTCAGAAGCTTAATACTATAGGCACCACACATACTGGCCTCAGCATTGTCATACAATCACACCCTCTCTTCTTATTATACCTTCCAATGTCTGGCTTCTTGTCATCTCTCTCTCTCTCTCTCTCTCTCTCTCTCTCTCTCTCTCTCTCTTCTTGTCATCTGTGTGTGTGTGTGTGTGTGTGTGTGTGTGTGTGTGAAAGAGAGAGGGGGGGGGGGGGGCGGGGAGATCCTTTGTTTCCATTGCCTCAGTTTTGGCAGTAGCACTGCCTTCTCTCTCAGGTGTGACCTCCCAACTTTGGGGGCCTAGTCTCTGACAATATTTCCCAGGATCGCTACTGATGCCTGGGAGGCTCACCCCTTCTTCTTTTGAGAGTCTTAGTAATGAACATATTATCCCTTTCCTCCCCTGCTCATAGGCATCCCTAATGTTGTACTGGGAGAATTTAGGTTGGGGGAGAGGAAGTGAAGTTGTCACTTGCTTTCAACCATAGAAAAGTTTCAAAAGCAGAGTCACATCAGGCAGAATTCTAGAGACTAGTTTTGTATGAGTAGAAAAGAGATAATAATGGAAATCATTTTCTTGAACTAACCCTTAGATTTTATCTCCCTCTAAATTTAGGAGGCTTTGACTCAAGTCTCAATTCAAACATAGACTCTACCTCTTCTGATCTTTGTGACCCTTGGGCAAATTGTAGCACCTCCTTATGTTCTCAGGTGTGTCATCTTTGAACAGAGAAGATTGTGGATGCTTCACGTCACATCCTGCAGGCCAGTCATGACACTGGATGCAAAGAGGAGAGCAGGATGTCATTGGTCAAGCGGTTCTCAGTATATACAGCCAAGAGCACTTAGTGGCTACAAGTCCTCACCCAGCTCCCAAGTTAGAGGACTGACCAGATGGGCATGGGAAAGTGAGCTCTGGCCCATAGCCATGAGTCTAACCTAAACCACACAGCATCTAGGTGGTAGCAAATCAAGTATGCCATCTTGAACCTATGATATTTTAGTGAATTATTATTTTCTTTAAGAAATACTTAGGTTCTTATGACAATTTAAAAAATGGAGACATACCTTTGAGGTCTAGAGGATTTTAAATGCAAGACTACAACCTCTGCTTTAAAAATTAAAATCTATGTTCCACATATTCAAAAAGTTAATTGGAACCAATGGAAATATATTAAAGATCCAAATAACTTCTAAAGTTAATGTACAATGTTTGAAACAAAAATGCATGGAAATGGCAATTAACAGCATATAGACAATGCAGAAGAAAAGATTAGTGAACTAGAAAACATCAGTGGAAACTATACAAAATGAAACACAGAAAAAAATGTACAGTGGCCTGTTGTATATGTAACTGTGGTCCCCAAATGAGAGGAGAGATAAAGGAAGAAGAAAACAGAAAAAAATTATTTGAAAATTTAATTACTGAAAAATTTTTAAATTTAATGAAACCCATACACTTACAGATTCAAGCAGCTTATGGGACACCAAGCACAAGAAATATGAAGAAACTGTATTAAGGTACATCATAATCACATTGTTCAAAATCAGTAGTAAAGAGAAAATCTTAAAAGCAGCCAGAGGAAAAAAAAGAAATGTAATGTACTAAGAACTGCACCACATCTAACATCAAAATTAAGGATCAGTGTCACCAATTATTCATTTAGGTATAGAAGTCTTTACCGAGCTACTAAGAATGTCCTGTAGAAAGGAATCTGGTCTGTAAACACTTTAAAGGCAGAAGCCAAGTCTCATGTATTTCTTTGTACCTGTTCATCCCTGTGACAGAAAAGTGTTATGGGAAAACTATGTTCTTTTCAGTTTCCAAACTCATCAGTGCTTTGCAGGCTGCAGGTTTTGATAGCATTTCCCAGTCCCACAGCTCCTGCAGGTTGAACGTTCTGTTTAAATTACCAGGCTCTGTGTCATAGCGGAGGTATGTCTGGGTCTTTAGGTACTTGGAATAAGAAAATAATAAGATTAAAAATTTTATGCTATTTTGATATTCAAAAATTCCTACTTTGGATTATAAAATAAGAATTATGGATGAACTATCATAAATTTTTTTCAGTATTTTCTGGTAATAATATCCTGCTGACTGTTTTCAGTGCATAAACCTGCCCATTAGTTCAGCACAGTTATCCCCAGTGTGAAATGTATCCCCACATATTGAGTAGACACTTATTTGGTAATTTTTTTCCGTTACTAATAGAGACTAGTAAGGAGCAGATGAAGTCAGTATCACAAAAATTATTCTGTATTTTCAACAGAGTTTAACAACTATGGCCATCAGATTTCCCAGTCCACATCAGATTAGAAAAAGCAAGGAGTGCCTCTTATAAAGAGGCGTAAAGATCTGCCTAAGAAGGGAGAGTAAATACTGTGATGGCAAAGAGAAAGGACAAAAGAATTAGAAAAAGTAACTACAAGGTAGCAAGAGAGGAAAACTGCCAGAGGCCATTCAGTGTCTTGGCTGTTGCATATATTCTAATAACTGATACTCCTAATGCTGACCCTCTGAAATGAAAAAAATGTTAAATTATTACTAATAATTTTAAAAGACAGAAATCATTTTAGAAATATTTCCCTCCCAATGATTAAAGTAGAATTTTGACTCTCAGAATGTCAGCCTTACTTATAAAGCACTAACCTTCCTTATTCTGTAATTTTAGTCAAATGGAATGGTACTCAGGCAGAGCAGGGGACTGCTAACGAATATTTGTGTACAGTTAAAAGTATATGTGCTTCCGTAAGAGCTTTACTATAAAAATGCAAATACACAGGCATGCATAAAAGACAATTACATTATCATCATCTGTTGTGTAATTTATTAATTTATCATATTAAATGATAAAGGATTATGTGGGTAGGGAAGATAATCCATAGGGATGATTTGAGAAAATCTTCATTAAGCCAAACACTGATAAATTGTTATAATTTTTAAATGAGAACAACTTGTACAAAAAATAAGTAAATCTTTACTTTAAAAAAAGATTTCACTTAAGAAAAAATATTAAGTAAAAGATCAAATTAGGATACACAATAGCCTCAATTTTTGTATAGACAATGTTACTATCTGAAACCTAGAATTTCAAGAATGTGATTTCATAGCAACTGTTGAAATTTAGTGACTTTTTTTTAGTGTCCTTAACTTTTTATGACCCAAACAACGAAAGCAGAAATGTGAAGGTAAAACACCAGTATTTTGCATAGAGATTGCTTTTTATAGACCTCATCTCCCAAAACAATAATTACTCTTTATGGGGAGATCATGCACAGTCCTTTTATGTGACAAGTTGACTAGCAAACACATCTTCATAATGGCCCTAAATACTTTTTACACTTTAAAACCCTCATTACTTGGTTTATGAGCATCAGAAAAAACATAATAGCATTGTGGCAGAAGCAAAGTGATAAATGTTTTTCATAGCCAATGTGGAATTCAGTTACCTTTTCCTCTTTTACAGTACAATGATGTTTTGGTCACAGAATAATAAAACTATTAGATATAGTAGGTTAAAGATTTGTAAAAATGTGACCAAATGTTCTTTGAACTCCCATTTATGGGTTATTTCTATTGTAATTGAACTTGGTGAAAACCCAGGGTTTGAACTGTAGAAATATATCTGCACTTGCTATTAAGCCAAACATTTTAGATATCTTTGTTTAGTCAACTTTCCCCCTAAAATGTGACTATTGTCAAGACTATTATTTCCTCATTTACTTTTAAAATAAGGTAGACTAAATAGATATTTGAATATTAATTTTTAATATTTGATGAGCTAACATAATAGCAACATAGATGTAGTGAAAACAGAATCTTCTGCCATGTGGCCCAAATGAATAAAAAAATAAGAGAACTGAGAACTTTGAGACTTGTCCCTAGAGACCTGGTCAACAGCCTCAAGAAAGATGCTGAATTGAGCATAGCTTAGTTGTTCTCACAGCTGAATTGAAATGTCCAGGACTTCCATTGCCAATATTCAAGGCTGTTCAACTCAGGAGTTTAGAGGAGGGCCAAACGAGTTATTGAAACACTAAAATAATAACATGAGTTATTAGACCAAGATTAATTGGTGAATTTGCAAAGAATTATATCACTATGATTGCAGATGTATGTAATTTACACTTGTCTTTTTGAGATGCAGAAGAGAAGGGTAGTCAGGCACACCGACTCTAGGGCAGTGCTTCCTGGGTTCAAGACCCGGTCAAGCAGCCACAGGCTGAGGGACCTTGCTCTGCCTCCCTATTCTCATCTGTAAAGTGGGAATAACACTAGCACATACTTCACAGGGATGAGATGAGGATTACGTGAATTAATACATGTAAAAAAATAGAACTGTGCCTGGCATTTGGTTAAGTGTTAGGTTTCTTATAGTTGAGATTGTTATGAGGGCTTATCACTCTCCTGAGGTCCTCATTGGGAAAGCATTTCTGCAGGAGAAATTTGGGTCACATTTTTGTGCTGTTTTCTCCAGGACCAGCTCTTTTTTTCTCCGTCTTCTCTTTGTCATTCTCCCCCCTCCCCTTCCTACTCCTCTTCCTTCTCATCCTCTTGAATCATCAAGCATTCTCTCTTCCACTCATGAGCCGTTCTTCTCAGAAGCATCCTGGTCCATACCTGATAGCTCCCCTCTCTGTACACATGTGCTCAGTGCACAGTGCTCTCATTTTGCCCAAAGACTTTCACTTCAACTACAATGGGTTATGATACACATTTCTCTCTTGTTCATGTTGTTATGCCTGTCCTACTCTTACTTTTGTTTAGATTACAAAACACTTGGCAACCCATGCACCTCTAACCACCACAGTGGATGATTCCAAGGCAACTGACTTCTCTTTTGGAAAACTCTATAGGAACCTCATGGTTCTGTATTGAGTGTACCTGAAACCATACCTCATTTCCCAATAACACTGTCTGGTGACTATCTCCTTTCCACCTCTAACTGGGGTTTACTCCTTTTTTGGTGGGTTACACTTTGGTCACACATTACCTCTGAGACTGGTCGATTGTTTGGCTGTTACTTAAAAGGCATCACTATCACCTATTTTTGCATGTCAAGAAATCTTGTGGAAACTTGCAACATGTTTTGAGTGAAATGTAAGTAGTTTATTCTGAGTTGTCCTATTCTAAACTGATATTGGGAATTTTCTATACCATACAAAACTAAAAGTTTCAAAATAAAAGTTATTTTCTATGCAGCAATTGTAATAATATGAGTTGAAATCTGTTGTCTGGTTATCCCTTTTCACTTAGGGAGAACATACCACTGTTGACCATTTTATGATACCAAAAGGTGTATCTGTAACATTTTGGGCCATAGATAGCCTCTTTTTTTTTTTTTTACTCTCAAATAAGTTCTCCACAAAGCTGAAGGACTCTCATTTATTTTCCAAACACTAAATCATCTTTCCATCCCACATGGGCAGGATATAATAGCTGGACTTCTAAAATGATACAATCATAAATTTCCCTTCTTGGCTTATTTCAAATATGGCCAAGTTCTTCTCTATCAATGTTTAGAAGGATGGAGGGGAGGGGAGAGCAAGGCAGTGTCTGGGGGACTGAACACAGAGGATTAGGGGAGAGAGAATGAGATGCTGGCAGAGGAGGGAAAATTGTCAGCATCATAAAGAGAAGCAGATTTGGAGTAACAGGAATGGGGGTCAGGGGCACAGTTGACCCTGATGAGCAGGTTACTTAACAACGTTGCGCCTAGATTTCCTCGTCTATAAATAAGAATACTAATGCCACCTCCAGCGTCTTAGGGACTTAGAAGAGGTCACTAATGTTCAAACCAGCATCCTCAACTGGAAGGAGGTGGTGCCGGGGAAGAGGCCATCTCTCGGGCCCATGCATCAGCCTGTCCAAGTTGCCAAGAACATTCCCACTATCTCCCCAAGGGCCAGCACATCTCCCCAGTATAAAGTCAATTGTTGATGTTCATCTCACAATTGGTAAACATTAAGCCTACCTTCTGATTTCCATTTTCTTCCTTTCTCTCACCTCCCTTCCTAGTTTTAAGGACGAACCCAATAATGCATGTGCTGCATAAGCTCAGGTTCCCCTGGGCCCTGGAGACCAGAGGTTTACAAGTCTAGTGGAGGCGGTAGATGAAAATCATGTCTCAGCATTTCAAATTGCGAATTAAATTTCTAGTGGACATGAAAGAGGTTCTGTACTATGTTCACAGAGCACCTCCCTCCAAATTGCAAGAAACAGCTTTCAAACCTGGATGTTTTTCCATGTCTAAGACTCCCTGACCACCCATTTTGCTGCTCCCTGAGAGCAGGTCTGTGAAATAGTTCATCTCAATCAAGAGATGCTTTAGTGATTCTAGCTGCTTCCCATCCCCTCAGGCTTCCTGGAGTGGGGGCAAGGGAAAGATTATGGGACGAGTTGATGGTGAAAAGAAACTATGTGAATGTGACTTCTAACGTAGGATGGGATGAAGTTGTGTGTTTTTTTAATCTCATATTTCATGCAGGGCTGGGCTGAGGATGTGGCAGGCATGGCATATGCCCTACGTTCACTACCAGAGGGGGCTCCCTGCCTGCCACAGGTGAGAGCCAGCTCTGGGGTGTCTTCCCCATTGGGGAAGGGGGGTGGAGGGGCCTGGCGGGGGGGTTGGGGACTTTATTCCACCTTTGGTGGTCCCCCAGAGGACTCAACCACAGAATCCAAAACTTTCTGTCATTAATGTCATTTTCCTACATCCTAAATGAAAATGTGACTGATTAAACCCTATATGGGTTGATTTTTATAGTGCACGCTCTTCTTTGGAACACCGTAAAATAGTATAAAGTGTATATGCAAATGTCGGAAGAATCTGGCCTTCCTAAATTCTGTGACATGGATTGGAATGCTTTATCATTCTGAATATTGCAAGTAAATTTCAATAGTAACATTAGGTGTGCTTCATTAAGATCAATAATCACCAGCCCAAAACAAATTATATATCTTATATTATAGAGTAAACATGGAATTATGGTCCTAGACCAGTGATGGCGAACCTTTTGAGCTCATCGTGTCAACATTTTGAAAAACCCTAACTTAACTCTGGTGCCATGTCACATATAGAAATTTTTTGATATTTGCAACCATAGTAAAACAAAGACTTATATTTTTGATATTTATTTTATATATTTAAATGCCATTTAACAAAGAAAAATCAACCAAAAAAATGAGTTCACGTGTCACCTCTGACACGCGTGTCATAGGTTCGCCATCACTGCCCTAGACACAACACATTTTGATCTAAATATTTTTTAGTTTATAATCTTTACTATTGATTTTTAATGTCATATTTACCTCTCCTCACCCCTACCTTTTTCTCACTTATTTAATCTTTATTATTCAGCAAAGAACTTACTGATGATATGTTTGGCAACTCATCTCTGTGCACCACCTCCAAATTAAATCTCTGTTTTTAAATCAATCACCCACACTCAATCTTTTATCATTTTCTACTTTTTCCAGGGCTCATTTTATTATTCCTCTGAATGTCAGTAGCCCTCCTTTCTGTCCCAAACCTTCACATCTCAAAGCATCAAGTATATACATCATGCGAATGGCTACAAATGGCTTTCCAATCTAAGGAAAGGAAAGACTGGTACCAGAGAAGCAAAATGTGGCTAGCTGACTCACCCTGAAACCTTTCCCATATGTTGAAGGCAAAAGATAACATGAAAACGTTTAAATACATGTCTAACCTACTCAACCTATTTTACAATTAGGTCTTGATAATTCAACCTTTTTGGTTCCTGCAAAGGACAGTCTGAAAACTGTACGTGCTATTTGCTCCTAGGGTTTGCCTCCTCCATTCCTAAGGTCTTTGCCTTCATCTTTTCCCAGTGGTCAGTGTACATCCGAGCTGCTGTCCGGAAAGAGAAAGGCCTGCCCATCCTCGTGGAGCTGCTCCGAATAGATAATGACCGGGTGGTGTGCGCAGTGGCCACGGCGCTCCGGAACATGGCCCTGGACGTCCGAAATAAGGAGCTCATTGGTATGTTCTCTCCGATTCTCTCACAGTTTCTCAGTTTTTCAATGAAAATATTTCCTGGCAGGGTCCATGTGATTGAATCTACTCGCAGAACATATGTGCATGCAGAAATAGTGCATTTATTAGGGGCCACATTTTTCCTAGTTCTCCTAGCTTAGATCCAATGACCCGAATTATCTTTTAGAATTCTGAGGAAAATGCAACGTTTGTTGGCATTTCTAATCCTTGCAAATTAAAAACTATGCTCAGCACCAGATACCATCTTCCTGATCCTTTAAATCCCTGTCAAGCTCTTTATTTTCCATGTGGTGAGCAGGAATTGTAATGGGATCCACGCCACTTAGCTTCTCCTCTCAAATGTGGCATTTATTTTGGATGAGACCATACTGGCTCTTTTATTGTTTACTGAATCCTTTTCCGTTAATTTGCTATTCAAGAAATAGGGAGGATCTTTTATTAATGAACATTAAAGAGGTCAAACATTTGTCTATATATTCACCAAATATGTATCATGACCTATGTTGCCCCAGACCTGTTCGAGGCCCAGAGATTATTACATCAATGAGCAAAGCAGACAGGAAGCCTGCCCTTGTGGAGTTTCCATCGGGAGAGCAGAGATGTACCATAAACAAGATGCACACATGAATCCCATTATGTGTTAGGAACATTCTAGGGGGAAAATGGACCTGGGTAAAGGAGACAGTAATTAGTGAGGTTGCCATTTTTTAAACTGTGGTTAAATTCACATAACATACAATTAACCATTTTAAAGTATACCACTGATGCCAAATTCCAAAACACTGTCAGCGCCCTGAGGAAAACCCTGTACTCATTGAGTAGTTACCCCCACTTTCCCCTCCTCCAGGTGCTGGCACTCTCCAATGTGTGCTCTGTTTCTATGGATTTTCCTACTCAGTAAGTTTCATGTAAATGGGATCATAGAATATGTGAGCTTTTGTGTTGGCTTCTTTCACTTAGCATAAGGAGTTGTAATTTTAAATGAGATGTCAAGGTCAGGATGGGAGTTGTTGGGAAGGTAACATTTGAGCCATGACTTGAAGGAGGTGAGACTGGGCCATGTAGATATTTGGGGTTGGGGGGTGGGGGTAGAGCATCTACATTGAAGGAGCTGCCTCTGCAGAAGGCCCCCTAGAAGATCTGGAAGCAAGCCAGAGGGTTCAAGCCTTCATGGGACCTCGTGTGCCTGGGGCAGTGAGTGGTAGGAGCCTGGCTGGAGAGGCCTCCTTGTCCCTCCTTTTACAGTGGGTAGATGGGAGGCCAAGGATGATTGATGCCTAGAGAACCAAGGAACCACAGAGATCTACCTGGGAAGAGACACAAGTCTACCAAAGACCATCTTCCTAATGTAGGCATCTTGGATCAAAGACATCATTCCAGAGGTCATTGGTCAGTCAGTGCAGCAGGAAGCCTGGCAAGACTGAATGCAGGTAATAGGTGTCAATGAAGGTCAAGCAGCAGGGAGCTAGACCACCCACCATGCCAAAGGCTCAGGGTATATAGCCTCTGGGAATCTGAGAGAAAGCAGGTGAGTGGGCCAAAGGGCAAGATTTTACTTCTGGGGAAGTTGGAATACTAGGTGTGGATCCAAATTTCATACAGGAATTTTACATAAATACATAGGTTCATTTTTGCTATTCAAATTCCTGAGCATGGCACACTAGGCCCTTTGCAATTTTTTCCTCCATTTCACAGTACCCATTATATCTTCCAATAAACATCAAATTTGTACAGTATGTGTTTAATTATAAGGAAACCAGACTTCAAATCTGTCTCTAATACATGCAATGATTTGTTATACTTGCAGTACATTATAAGGCATGAAACAAACATAACTTGATGTTTATGTTTGAATTTAATTTAAGTATTATTTGTGGATTTTGTAAAGTATTGAAACTAACCCATTAGCTCAAAAGGTCAAGGTACTCTCTCCCTGCTTGCTTTCCTTTTCTGTACATAGTTGTTTCCGATAAAATCCCGCTGCTCCTCTAGAAAATGAAGGAAAAATCAATAGCTAATCAGTTTACTGCCTGGATACTCACCACTCGGTATTGTGGGTTTACGTGTTTTATTTCTTTTGGTGGATTAAAATATAACAAAATAGGGAACTATTAATTGGTTTTCTAGCTTCCAGGCATCCCTTCTTCCTTGGAAGCCAGTTATCTACCACTCTGTCTGAGGCAGGAACATTTGGAGCTCCATATTGCCCATGTTCAATTAAGCCTTTACTATCTAATGTCACCAGACAGGAAAGGGAGCCAATCTCTTAAAAATAGGAGTGAAAATATCGCAGTCACAGTCTTTACGGAATCAATGACATTTTTCTTGAATGAAAAAAAAAAAGGCAGAATTTCACAAAACAAAACAAAAAGCACACCATTGTATTCTATCTAGGAGAAAAGAAAGAACTTTGCTAATTCTCTTACTTTAAATAGTGTATCAAAGTGGTGATTTTTATAGAAAAATGCTACATAGAACTTTACATGTTGAAAAGAAAGTGGCAATGATTTTGAACCATGAACAAAACAATAAACTTCTACATCTTCTCTTTTCTACCAAATCTCACTCAAAGCTTTGGTGACCTGCTTCATGGTGTTGAAGATCATCCATATTCTGACCCAAATAGGTATCTCTAGTATGAATCCCACATCTCTGTATCCAACTGTCTGTGTATCTCCACTGGATATCTAACAGGCATTTCATGTATAACATCTCCATACCTGAGTTTCTTATCTTCTCCCCAAGCTCGATCCTTCCACAGTCTCCCCACGATAGCCAATGGCAATTTGTCTTTGCAGTGGTCCAGGCCAGGCACTTTACAGACCCCTTGGACTCCTCACCCTTCATATCCAATCCATCAACAAATCTGGTCTTCTGTGTTTTCTCAGAATCTGACACTTCTCACCTTCATTGCTTTTCCCCCAACCTCCCATCATCTCTCACCTGGATTATTACCATGGCCATCTACCTGGTCTCCCTGCCCACCCTTTTTTTTCAAATATGTTTTTATTGATTTCAAAGAGAGGAAAGAAGAGGGAGAGATAGAAACATCAATGATGAGAGAGAATCATTGATCAGCTTCCTCCTACATGCCCCCTACTGGGGATTGAGCCCACAACCCAGGCATGTTCCCTGACCAGGAGTCAAACCATGATCTCCTGGTTCATAGGTCAATGTTCAACCACTGAGTCACACCAGCTGGGCCTGGTCTCCCTGCTTCTACCCTTGCCCCCTACAGCTACTCTCAATGCAGAAACCAGAGTGGTCCTATTAAAACCTTAGAGCAGGTCATTTCTCCACTCAAAACTCCCAATAGCTCCTCACCTGTCTCACTATAAAACGAAGGCTTTTACAGCAGACACAACTTCGTACGATGCAGCTTGCTATCCCTCTCTAACCTCACTCTCTCTCCTCCCTGTCACTAACTTTGCTGAGGCCCACTGGGTCACTATGGTTCCCATAGGACATGAGCACAATCCTGCCTCAGGCCTTTGAACTTGCTGTTCCCTCTGGCTCGAATCCTCTTCCTCCAGGGGCCTATGCACCTCAGCTCTCATCCCATTCAGGGCTTTACCCAAGTGCCAGTTTCCCAGCAGAACCTTCTCTGGCCTCCGTGTCTCCATTCTACCACCAACTCTTCTTCTCCTGCTTCACTTTCCTCCACCGCACTGATCACTTTCTAATATACAGCATGTTATTTATTTACCTGGTTACCTGTCCATCTCCCCACACTGGAATGGAAGCCCTTGAAGGTCAGAAAAGTCTGTCTCATTTGTTCACTGATGTAGCCCATGTACCTAGAGCAGCCCTCAATCCACAGTAGGAACGTCATAAATATTTCCCAAATGACTGAACTAAATATTTTCCTGTCTGACCATCATTTTGAAATGAATTCTAAATCAGCAAAACATTAAGTGAGCACATTAAGTAAAACAACAAAAGAAAATGATTTTATACTAATAAAGAAAGTCATCCAAAAGTCAGTTCATTTTCCTACTGAGGTTTACCAGACGTATTCAGGCGCTCCGGAGGTCAGAAGGAATCCAGTTCCTCCCACCACTGGTTCTGGGGGTTTGTTTTAAATTATATCTCTCCTTAGATTATTCTTTTAGTTTGGGATGGGGAGAGGAGCTGCTACCACACTCCGGTCAGCAAATGGTTTATCTTCCTCTGACTCTCTTATCAGGAAAACTCCAGATAAGCTATTGAACAACCATCACCCTACTGCATCAGCTCTAATGAGGGTCATATAGTAGCACCAAAAGGAACGTCACACTCTGCCTCTCCCATGTCCCACTCAGGCTGTGCCCATGCTTCTGAGATGTCCCTGCCACCAGGCAGGCAGTGAGTCTATAGCTAGATCTTTGTGTTCTGAGTGACTTGGTGCAGTCATCCAGCTTAATGAACATCCATACATTCTTTTGTAATCTTTTGAAAATATTAATTATCCTTCCAAGTGTCATCTCATCATTCAAAAAGGTATTTTTTATTGTTTTTTTTAATTAATGGTAAGATTTCCCTTCAGTGAAAAGAGAAAACAACATTATATCACTGTAACCAGTCTGCAAATTGCCCAACATTTCAGCAGGTTGACAGTTCCTGATGAAGATGACAGATACTGATTTTAGCCAAATCCCCACCCCTCTCTGCCAACAGAACAAGCCAAACAAGACTCCAATAAAAATTTAAAAGCACAGCACACATAAACACTAGAGAGGGGAGATGTCTAGCACTTGGCAAACATTGGTCCTTAACCCATGGCTACTCATCCATGGAAAATAACTCTGAAGAGAGTTATTTCATATGTGCTGTTTTGTTTTGCTGCATTTCCAGACAGCACAGAAAATCAAAAGGCTGTATCAAAATAGTTAGAACACAGGCACCACACGTGTATATTTCCCAGTATGTAAGGTTATCTGTTACGTGAATGCCGTGGTGTCACACTGGAGGCACTGTCCACGCTCCTCCCAAACTGCCTCTTATCT